TATTTATTTCCACCCTAGTATTGAGACGTTCTAACGTACCATTTACCCTGAAAATCTCTTTCATTTTCATTCCACTCCAAGTAAGTATTAACATTGTGTCCCAAGCTATGATGTCTCTTTGAGCCTTTACCAAGAATATACTTTTTATCACGTTGTACTATCTGGGTTAGCATCACAATAGTTAACTAATAGCAACAATATTAACAGTTCAAACGGTAACCTTATCTTGTGTATCAAGTGTATCATATCATTTGATGATTTTTTTCTAGAGAAACGGAAAGTTTTGAAACTTAGATATTCGGAATCACCGCAACGAGTTACGTTGTACGGCGTAAAGATCTCGTCGAGGATACCCGCATTTTTTGGACTCGGATTCTCCTCTATGGGTTTTCACGGTATACTACTTATATTCAACAGTAGACATGAAAGATTCCGCTTTTCTACCATTCTCTTTCATGTCATTTTTCTTTGCTTTTATGTTTTTTCCTTCTATGCACACCATAGCGAGAGATATAAAGCAAGAAATAGAGAAATGAACAAATTTTATCGTTTATTCAAAAGAAAGTTTGCACTCACTATGAAATTAGAGTATATTCTGGCAACTTCCCAGAATAAAAAGTTAACAAATTTGAAGGTAACCCTCTTCAGTTTTTCTGACAGTTTGAAGTACACAACTTGTGCTCTATGCCAAGCTATTTTTTACTGATGTATTTTCTAGAAAAAGATCGGGGTATATTAGTCAAGAGGGTTTATATCCGGGCTGTTTGGGAACCAACTGCTTTTCTCAAAAAGGATGAAAAGTTGTTGCGGCAGGGCTGTCCACTGCCTGCGACCGGCGCGCAGCCGACCGAGGAGATGGACAGTTCAATAGAGCTAGCCTTGGAGATCATTGCACCAACGATTGATTGTGACATGGATCACGCTGCCGTTCAAATGGTGAAAGACCTACCAGATCGTTACCGCTTTCACTGTTGAAAATTACGGCTTCTTTCTGAGGTCTTTACTTTTCATTATCACAAGTAAGAACTGGACAAACAAGTATTCACTATATCACAAATCAAACAAACTAAAAGCGACAGAGATATTGTCAAAATACTGATGGTATCATTCTTTATGCTGCACCCTTTATTTGATTGCAGAAAGTTCTATGGACGGTATTTATTAAGGCATTTCTGACAAATATCTGTTTGAGGGCAGTAATGCAGACCATTATTAGAACCATTATGTGAACAGGACTCGTCGCATACATCACAAATGGCTTCGCCTGAATAATCCTCTTTACATGTTTCTTGGTGATTAGCCGATATTTTCTCAAGCATTGTATAAAGAAATTGAATCTGTTCCGTTTGTCTTTTCATTTTTTCTTTGAGTTCGACGATCATTGGCCGAACTTGCATTAGTGGACATGTCTTCATATGTTCTTCTAATTTATTATGTCGCCCTGTCCACGGACAGTTCAGATCGGCGGCCGCACACGATACAGGCTTCTTACTGCACATTTTTGCATGGTCTTCATAGTTTCCACGCTGAATATTCTCCTCTGAGCAGAATTTACATTTAACAAGCAGTTGGTTCAGTTGATTCAGGAACGACCGAGTATAAACAGGATGAAAATCGTCGAGTGTCAACACTAATCGACATGTAGGACATTCGGATTTTCGACGAAAACTAGCCGTTATACATGCACGACAATACGTGTGGCCACATTGTTGAGCACAAACCGGTTCAAGTAGTGGATCAGTACAGAGAGCACATGTGAGATCTTGAAGAATTAAATTTTCTTCGATGTAGTCGTAGTCGAGCTTGACTGTCATTGTCGAATGTATGTATGTAATTTTTCACACGTTTTTACATACGAAAAATGGATCGAAAAACTACAACTTCCTTCACTCTTCACGTTTTTTTGTTGTTTTTGCTTTGTGTTTCGAAATGATGTAGAAGCAAGCAAGTAAATATCTAGAAAAGGTACTTTTCTTTCTTGTTAATAATCTAGCGCACTTATTCATCCTAAGCAAATAAAAGAACGAGTATAAAATGCGAAGAACGCGAAGAGGCCGCATCTACAATTGGGGTATATAAGGTTTTGTTTATTCAGGAACTGAGTCTCACATTCAAACACGGCTGTACCGCATAAGCTAACACTAGGGATCAATAATATTGGAGGTGAGCCACTACGGAAACTGACAAAAAACAAGAAAATTTTATTGTCTTCGTTGGAACGAATCAGTGACGGCGTGAAAGAATCAGAGTAAGGGGGTACTTTCTAAAGAAAAGTCAGAAATTTTCGTCATTTTTAAGGTAATATTCGGGGAAATGATGCTATTTAAAATTCAATTTTGTCAACATTTTTAATTATCAACACAGTTGAAGAAAAGTAATTCAGCTATCCATCTATGTTGTAGCTGTCAACTCTTGGAGAAATGAAGTTTAATTATACTGGCGATTTTGACTTGTTAAGTATGTATCAAGCAATGCCAGACATTTGCTCGTTTCTGGCGGCCAGGATATTTTTAGGCAATTTTAGGCTTCATTATTTTCTGTTGCAAAAATAATCACACATATGTAGTCTGAATACTAATCAAATATTTCTTTTTCTTTTATTTAAATTATGGTTTCAATGGCTTATTGTTGTATGTGAAAAGAGCGTTCAAATAATTTGTCCTGTTTTATTTTGATTGTGATAGGTCTTCCCAGTTGTCGTCAAAATATCTTACATCCACGCTAATTACTCGTTCGTATGGTTGTATGCATCAGTAAACGTATCATCAAACCAATGTTATATACAACGTGACATTCAATGAACATTTTTACTACTTCATAGGATCATTGAGAAACTAGCACGACAGCCAATCATTAGGCAGGAATTCGTGCACCAACAAAAAACAAATCTAGATAATACCAACTATTTTCCTTAGCAACCGCTAATCACAGGACGAATTAGCAATCATATAACACTTAATGCGCGTAGAGTGTATTCAAAAAAACACCTTCTATAGCCAGTTTTATACCCTGAATAAGATAAAGTTAGTTTTGTTCACATGCTTCGTCGGGAAAACATGCGTCATGGACTTTACCATGCCTGCTTGAGTGATAAATGTTCAAATTGTACAGTTCATATACATAGCGCGTACTTCGAAAAACACTCAGATACAGTAGTATACCCTGAATAAGATAAAGTTAGTTTCGTTCACATGCCATGTATGGTAAACATGCGTACCAAGTTCTTCTTGATTTTTTATTTTAACATCAGGATGTAGTGGATATAACAAAAAATTTGGTACAAAAAAATTCACATGACGGGTTTCAAATGGTTGTTCAGGTGTGAACATAGTTCGGAGAACAATAAAATGATTTTCGTTCACATGTTATGTATGGTAAGTACGTGCGATTGATTTTACCATGAAAATTAGTATGTTTCAATGATATATGCTGAAATGGCTTTTAATGGGCACCTCTTTGAATGATCTCAAGTGCAATGAAGTATGTGTAGTTTTTGACGGTTGTTTGTGTGATCGAAGGGTAGTACGTTAACGTGCTATAATGGCGCAGTGCACTCCGCAGGATGTTGAGTCCTGTTGTTGTAGATACGGCGAAAGGATACGTTGCGTATGTCCGCTGATTAAAATCGATATTATTTGCATATTTTAAGTATCAATGTACATTAATCAGTTGCATAAGTTTGTTTAGATGTTCGTCTCGAGGCACATTGAAAAAGGCATTCAATCAAAATAAGGTCATTCTTGATCTTATTTCGAACGAATACACCGAATAATTCGGTGCCTAAATCGATTACTTGATTAGACATGTTGACATCTAATGAAAATATTGTAGTTGGTGTATGCATTGCTCTCGAATCTATAAAAAGGATACATATTTTACGAGCACTTAATATCTACTAATTTTATTTACTTACCATGTCCACAAGTGTCACACATATAATTCGATGCGACAGCCCAACAAAGTGACTTGATATTCATATCCCACATATTGTTTTGACTTAATAATAATTTGACAGCGGATTGTAAATCCAGTGATGGTTCATTTCTTAATTGGACCGTGCTATCTCGTGCTGTTGCTAACTTTACTTGAAAATTTGTTAGAATTTGTTGTGACGGTGCTGTGAATTGCTTTGGGCAATTTCGTTTAAAGCAAGAAAGTTTTAGGTTGGCAAAAGGCTTCCAGGGGCGTTGGAAAGGATTTTGATTGTCTAAAAATATGATAGGTTTAATGGGCAAGAAAAACTGCATCAGATGAGTTACTGCACAATGGATTTGGTAGTGGGCCGATTTGCGGTCTTATCGTCCCCCATCCTTTTTACGTTCTAGTTTTTCAGAAGGTTATTAATTTTTGGCTTTTGTGACTGTTATTTTTATTTAATTCTTTTTATGTGTTTTTGTTTGCATAAAGATCAAACATATTTAGGAATAGCCTGAAAGTATGAGCTCAAAGGATTGTTTTTTTCAAAAGATATAAGCATTCTTTTAATAGGTGTCGCACGTTATAGAGAGCCGTTTTTTGTTGTAGATGTGAAAGTAAATTTTAATTTTCTCAGCCAGTATGAGAGATAAAG